ATACCCATATTAGAAGGAGGGTACATGAGAAATGTGTACGTGAGTGTCAAGGGCCTGAGTGTCTGAAAGAAAGCTAATTCCTTATTTCCATTGTGTTATCTGTAGATAACTGCTTAAGACTGAAAGCCTAGAAATACCAATACAAACATGTTATTTAGACATATGAAAGTAAACAGCAAAAGACAGTAAACTGAGTTCAAAGTGATTACCTTTGAGAAGCTGAAATTTGAGGGTGAAGAGAGCAGATGACAACTGTTTTATTCTAAGAAACCACAAAGAACAATTTGACTAAGTAACTACAGGTAAAATGTTCATGACATTGAAAATGAAATACTTATTTTTAAAAGTTCAAATGCAAAGGACAAAGAGGCAGTTATAATTGAACAAAACGTATAAGACTATGCTTAATATATGAAGTCCTCTGTTCAAAATCAATAAACTGGATTCCACTCCTGGAAAGATACAGCAGATGCACTTGTCTCGACTCAGCCTGTTAAGTTCATCTGCAAACCATAGACATTATCCATCAAACTAACATACAGAGACTCTGAAAGGTAAAGAAAAATAGGCACCCTGGCTAAGGGCCTCAGGAACCAGGAAGCTAAACAGTAATGAGCTCTCTGTGTCTTTCGGCCTCATATAGATAGCCCTGACCAGGTGTTCGAAAAACCTACAATCCAGAAACACCAACAAGTGCGTACAAAAAGGCCTGGAAAAAAGTGCTCTCTCTAGCTAAAAGACCAGGAAAGGGGCAACAGAGAAAAAAAACTTTTAGACAAAACCTACTCCAAGCAAATACCACAGATAATAAAACAACAAAAAACTGTGGACTTGATTCATCTCTCATCAGCAAAGACTCAGTGGTTAGCCTAGGCTCCTGTATTTGCCTGGCTGTCTGGGGATGCCCCTCCACTACAATAGGGTAGTATGAGAAAAAGCCAACTGGGGAGCTGGGACTTGCATCTCTGCACAGTGGTAATGGGTAGCTTTCCCGCCAGTGGGAGCCACATCAGGGCTGGACTTCCATTCCTACCTGGCAGTAAAGCGACAGTCTTTCCATCACCACAGGTATGGTGTGAGAGGAGGCCAGATGAAAATCCAAGACCTCCATCCCTCTGAGAGGTAACGAGGCCCCATCCAACCTAACAATATCAGAGAAGACAGCATGAAGAGCAGAAACAAGGTACCCTCTCCTGTCAGACAAAGTGATGTCACCAGAGGTCTACTGGGGAGCCTGAACTGCCAACCCCAACTAGCAGTAATGAGGTGTCTCTCTCCCCACAGACTGTCAACAGAGTTCAAGTAGGGAACCTGCAAATTCACATCCACCTGGCGGTAGCACAGCAAGGTCCCCCAATTCCCACACTGGCCCAGAGGACGCCTGCTAAAAAAGAGGACTCAAATAAGATCTAGAGTCTAAGGTTTCCACCATACATTACAAAATCGTTTGAATAACCGAGAACCAGGAAACCTCAACTTGAATAAGGAAATGACCAATCAACAGATACTAAAACTGAAGTGATGCATGTTATCAGAATTATTTCATAAGGATTTTAAAGCAGTCCTCATAAAAATGTTTTAATAAGCATATGAACACACTTGAAACAATAAAAAAATTTCAACAAAGAAATAGAGAAGAGATGAAGAAATCAAATGAAAATTTTAGAACTAAAAAATAACCAATATTAAAAACTCAATAGATGGGCTCAAAAGAAGGGAGACAACAGAAGAAATAATCTGAGTACTTGAAAATAAAATAGAAATGATCTAATCTAAAGAATGGAGGAAAACAGACCGAGAAAAAAATGAACAGACCCTCAGAGACATGTGGGACAGTAACAAAAAATCTAACATTTGTGTCATTGGAGTTCCAGAAAAAGAAAAAGAAGAGAAAGAAATGGGGGCGGAATGGGGGCTAAACAAGTATTTGAAGAAATAATGAATGAAAATTTCTGAAACTTCCCAAAAGATATACACTTACAGATAGAAGCTGAGCAAATCCCAAAAAGAAAAAAAAAAACAAAGAAATTCATACTAAGAAAGAATTCTAGTCAAACTTCTGAAAACTACAGACAAAGAAAGAATGCTGAAAGCATTCAGAGAGAAACTACACATTATCCATAGGAGAAAAAGAATTGGAATGACAGTGTGTGATACTAAGAACGATGGCTCCCCAAAGATGTTCACATCTTAATTCCCAGAAATTGTGAATATGTGGGGTTACATGGCAAAAGGGAAGTCAGGTTTCAGATGAAATCTAGATGGCTAAATTGGCTGCCCTTAAAATAGGGAGATTAATTATTTTGGATTATCTGGGTACACTGAATATAATCACAAATTTGCTTAAAAGTTAAATCAGGAGGGCCAGGCAAGGTGGCTCACACCTGTAATTCCAACACTTTGGGAGCCTGTAATTCCAACACTTTGGGAGGCCGAGGCGGGCGGATCACCTGAGGTCAGGAGTTTGAGACCAGCCTGACCAACATAGAGAAATTCCGTCTCTACTAAAACATACAAAATTAGCAGGGCGTGGTGGCATATGCCTGTAATTCCAGCTACTTGGAAGGCTGAGGCAGGAGAATCGCTCGAATCCAGAAGGCAGAGGTTGTGGTGAGCCAAGAGCGCACCACTGCACTCCAGCCTGGGCAACAAGAGCAAATCTCCGCCTTAAAAAAAAAAAAAAAAGTTAAAGCAGAGGCAATAAAAGAGAGTCAGAGAAAGATGTGACTACAAAAGAATGGTCAGAGAGATACAACGTTGATGGCTTTGAAGTTGGAGGAAAGGGCCACAAACTGAAATGTGTGCACCCACTAGAAGCTAGAAAAGCCATGGAAAATAGAAACAGATTCTTTCTTACAGCCTGTAGAAAGGAATACTGCCCTTTTGACACCTTGATTTTAGTTCAGTAAGACCCATGTCGGCCTTCTAAAATATAGAACTGTATGTTAAAAAAAAAAAAAGTGTTATTTTAAGCAACTAAATTTTTGATAATTTATTTCAGCAGCAACAGAAAATGAACATGCAGTTTTAACTAATATCTCATCAGAAACTCTGGAGGTCAGAAGGAAGTAGCACATTTTTCAAGTGCTAAAAAAAAAAAAACTATCAACTTAGAATTTTGGATCAGGCAAAAATATCCTTCAGGAGAACGTGGAAATCAAGACATTCTCAGTCCTCCAAAAATTTATATGTTTAGGCTCTAACTCCTAATGGAACTGTATTTGGAGATAGGGCTTTTAAGAGGTAATTACGGTTAAACGAGGTAGGGGTCCTAATCTGATAAGACAGGTGGCCTTATAGAGAGAGATTCTCTCTCCATAGGCAGGCAGGCAGGCGGTCACTAGGGAATGGCCTGTGAGCACATAGTGAGAATCTGGTTTTCGTCTACAAGCCAGGAAAAGAGCCCTCAGCAGAACCTGACCATGCTCGCACCAAGATCTTTGAGTTCCAGCCTCCCTGTGAGAAAATAAATTTTTGTTGTTTAGTCCACCCAGTCTATGGTACTTTGTTATGGCAGCCTGAGCTGACTAAGACAACTACCAACAACTCTGCACACATAAATTTGACAACTTAGATGAAAGGGTACAGTTCCTGAAAACACACAAACTACCACAACCCTCTCAATATTAAGTAGACAATATGAATAGCCCGTAACTCTTAAAGAAACTGAGTTTGTAATCTTAAAACTTCCAAAAAAGAAATCTCTAGACCCAGACAGTTTCTCTGGAGAATTCTACCAAATATTTGAAGAATTAACATAATTAACATCAATTCTACACAGTTTTTTCCAGAAAAAACTGAGAAGAGAAGGGAATACTTCCCAGTTTATTGTGTGAGGCTATGATTTCTCTGACACAAAAACTGGACAAAGTATAGAAAAATAAAACACAAACTATACACAATCTCTGGCAGAATAATCAATATAAAGGAACACATTCCAACTGATTTTATGAGGCCAGGGTTATCCTGATACCTAAACCAGAAATAGTAGCAAGAGAAAAAAAAGAAAGAGAGAGAGACAGAAAGAAAAAAAAAGTGATACCCTTCATAAATATGATACAAAAACCCTTAACAAAATATTAGCAAATACAAATAATTTAAAAAGTATATACCACAACCAAGTGGAGTTTATTCCATGGATGCAAGGCAGGTTCAATATTAAAAAATCAATCAGTGTAATCTACCGTACCAACAGATTCAACAAGTAAAATCACATTATCACGTCAATTGGTACAGAAACAGCATAAAACAAAATTCAACTTCCATTCATGATAAAACCTCAAGTTTGTTTCAGAAGATGGTCCTGGGACAAGGAGCATTGATGTTCTGTGGAAATTTGTGAGAAATAAAAATTCTCATATCCCATCCCATAGCTACTAAATCAGAATCTGAATTCAAATGCAAATGCAAGTAAAGTGTCAGAAGCACTGTTCTATAAGACAGCAACAGAAAAACTGTGGCTACTTTTTGTATTTTTAGCGGAGACGGGGTTTCACCATGTTGGCCACGTTTGTCTGGAACTCCTGACCTCAGGTGATCCACCCACCTCGACCTCCCAAAGTGCTGGAATTACAGGTGTGAGCCGCTGCACCTGGCCTGTTAGTGCACTTTCGGTAGGTTTGCTGTTGAAGACTGTTCTGTCATTAACTATCTGGAGATCTATCAAAAAATTTCTCAAACACCAAGAACCATGAAATCTTTACCACAGATGAAATAAATTACTTGTGAATTTTATTAATATAAACCATGTATCCAATTTCCATTATTGCTATGTCTTTCAGGAAGATCAGAGACAATTTAACAGTTCAAAGTTCATAACTGTGTAAGACCATATATTCTAAACTTGATTCGGGGTTGACAGTCTCATCTTCATTTTCTCTGATCTTAGTTTTTATTTATCTAGTCTTGTCATCTTACTATAGGGATTGTTAGATGTCTCCTAAAATCCACTAAAAGTAAAAGAAAGCAACAAATAAACAGATGAACAAATAAGAACTCACCAGGGACTTGGTCATTTTTGGCTCTTCAGACAAAGGGGCAGAGATCTGAGAAAACAGATGGGTAGAGGTAGAGATGAGAGAAGGAAGTGTGCCAATGTCACACATGGACACATACATCATTTACTGCCCATGTGCCTTACTCAAAAATTTATTTCTGGAGCTACAACAATTAAAATATCATCCCATCCCATACTGTACAAAGATTTAAGTGCAAAAGTTTTACCATAACATGGTTAATAAAAAAGAAAGATTAGAAACATTTAGATATCCAATAATTGTGGAGTGCTTAAATACTTTATAAAATATCCAAAGGACATACTGTTCTATTACATCATTATACTATCTGATTTCACAGGCCCTTCAAGTTATCATCAACCCTGGTACCTAACTCCTCACTACCACTCTTCAATCTGCTCTAAGTGCCAATTGGTGCCCAGAGACTACTCCCAGAAGCCATTACTGAAACCTCAGATTCACTGATTCCCATGCCTTACTGCCCATGAGCCCTGCATCACTCATCCTACAATTCCTGATCACAGAGTCTTCAATTCCTCTACCTTAATTGTTCTGGCTCTTTACCAATCACTCCCACGTCCCCATGACTGACCTCTATGCCTGTATGACTACCCACCGCACATCTCCATCAGCCATCCAAAGAGTGCCAATTCCAGGCATACCTGTCCCTGCACTGGGGCCTTAGCACACGAATACATCTCCCTCCGCTGACACAGCTGGCTATAAACTCCTCCACATACACAAATAGGAACTCATGAACAAATCTGGCGCAATTCTTGAATGTATAGAATAAATTTATAAATAGAAAACACTTCTAAATCTAATTGTGAAAAGACTATTTACAGAGAAAGAATTAAGGAAATAAGAAAACTCTTTATCTGCAGTAGTGAAAGCTAAATGATGTCGGAAATAGCATCTAAAAGACCTCTCCTCTGTCAGGGCCAGAGAGACATTTTCAGAAATAAAATCACTTGCAGAGTATCTTTATCTTTGAGAGAAATACTGAAAGAAGTAGTCCAAATAAATGTAAATTGAATCACACATCAAGAAATGTTGAATAGGAAAATATTGTTCAGCAATAATTATTGCAAAAGATATATAATTATAAAAAAGGAAAATGTGACAATGTGACAATGTGATAAAGAGGCCACTAAAGAGAAAATTAATAATACCCTATGATAAAACATTCCTAATAATCTCAGGAAGAAAATGGAAAAAATGGGGTGCAGAATGGAAACAATGAGCAGAAATTCAATCAATCCAATGAAAATATTATATAAAGAAAAGGCAGAAAATAAAAAGAGTTAAATAGTAAACATCAAATGGAAGGCATAAAATCAGATAAATCATTATTACACTAAACTGAGAGGTAAAATTCTATCAACAGAGACTACAAGTTGGATTTGAAAAAAACAAAAGATATCTATTGTAAACAAATAGGTAATCTGACACAGAGACAAATATGGATATAAAATAAAGCTCGGGGCAAAGACACATCATCCAAATGCAATAAAAGTAAAAACAGGTGTGGCAATGTAAGTATCAAAGTGGAATTCGATATTAAAAAGTGTTTTTCTTTTTTCTTTTTGGTTGAAAAAAGGGATCTTATAATACCATTTAATACATGAAAAAGGATAAAAAATGCATTAACCATTAGGTGTACGTATGCCCGTCCCTCAGACACACAAATAAAATTAGCAAAAAAGCACATATAACTGCAAAGTGAACTATTAAAGTAAGAGATTTTTATTGTATCTCTTCCAGAATATTAAACAAGTAGATCAAAATTAGGAAAGATAAAGATTTGAAAAATACCAACAGGCAAGACTTAAAGAGAATTTTGGCCCATACAACAAAATATAATTTTTCTCTTATATCTGTTGAACAAAGTTCATTGAGTAACTTGGCTTCAAGGAAAATCTTGATAAACTGCTAAAAGTTCAGACTTGATACTCTGCATTTTCTGACAATAGAATAAAATAAAAGACAGCTAAAACATACTTTAATAATTTGGGAATGAAGAAACTCCCCTAAATAACTAAGGATCAAAGGGAAACATCAAGATGAATTTATACATTTCATAGATAAAGATGTAGTTAAGGAAACTTTACTACCCTAAGTGTATCCAGCATAAAACTTAAGAAAAGAAGGGAAAGAACAACAAATTACATCAAAAAGTGGGAAAAAGAGAAAGTACGTAAAAAGAAAAAGAGAAAAAATTTAATATTAAAAGAGTAGGGAGTAGTTTATTGGACATTTCAAAATATCCAGTAAAACAGATAGACCTTTCAGACTCGCTTGATCTTTTTAAATAGGGGAGAGAAAGAATGAATGATATATAATACAACAACCTAATGGTAAAGGAGCTACTAATCTTGGATATGAAAACAGACAAAATGGAATGGAAATATGAATCTATGTAACATATTCTTTAATCTTAGCAAAATACATCATGATCATGAAACAGAAACGAAAATGTAAACAGATCGGTATGTATAAAAGAGAGGAAAACTAAGATGTGCATCATTCACTCCTCAGATCCCTCCTTAGTCCCCACAGTCATCCTCCCCCACAACCCCACAGTCCGCCTCACTCCGCCCTCAGATCCACCACCAGAGACCCCCAGTCCGTCCTCACTCCGCCTGCAGATCCACCACCAGAGACCCCTCAAGTGCCCCTCACTGCTCCCTCAGATCCACCATCAGAGATCGCTCCGACTTCCACTATTCATCCATTGACCGTCCCGTCCCATCCACTGACCGGAGGGCTCACGACAGACATCAGAGATTCTTCTTGCTCAGTCCACAGATGCTGCCATCCCTCTATTCACCTGCCCCTCACCACGTTCTCTCAGGACCAGTGGTCATTTGCTTCGGGCGGTGACTATAGTCGCAAGAACCAGAACAGGACCCACTTCCTTTTTCTCAATGCCCTACTTCTTACAGCGCTGCCTGGGTGTGCGCATGCTCAGCAGTCTTCGTGGCCGAAGGTTGCCAGTAGTCAACATGGCGCTTTGCCAAACACGCTCCCGTTTCAGTGGCTTAGGCGGGGCGCCAGTATGGCGGCGCCCATGTAGACACTCTGGCCTGTGTGCGGCCATGTTGAGGTGATGTAGCGATTGAGGGGCTGAGGGTTGTCCAGAGGGAAGGCAGCAAGCAGAGGTGTGTCCCATCATACTAACCAGGACACAATCAAGCCTGTCACCTCAGGTTACAATCTTTCTCCAGTGCTTCTGTGGACACAACAACACTGTTAACCAACCGGAACTAATCAGCATTTACGTAATACCGCAACGCAGCGGAATACACATTTTTTTTTCATGTCCATGGGACACTTAGCAAGATATGAGGTAACCTGGGCCATAAACAAATCTCAGCAAATTTAAAACAACTGAAATCATACAGAGTTTGTTCTCTGAACACAATAGAATTAAACTAGAAATCAGTAACACGAAGATAAAAGGAAATCTCCAAACACGTGAAAACACATGCTAAATAATCCATTGTTCAAAGAGAAAGTCTCAGATTTTTAAAATACATTGAAATGAATGAAAGTGAAACACACATATCAGAATTTGTGAGATGTGGCCAATCAGTGGTGAGAGATAAATTTATACCACTAAGGGCTTACATTAGAAAAGAAAAAAATTTTTGAAGTAATAACGAAGTAATAACCAAGCTCCCCACTTCTAGAAAAAGAAGAGCAAAATAACCAAAAGCAAGTGAAAAAAGTAAATAATAAGGATAAGAAGATAACTCAATAAAATGTAAAAAGAAAATAGAGAAAAACCAATTAAACAAAAGCTGGTTCTATAAATGTCAATAAAATTGACAAGCCTACAGAGGAGACACAAAACATCAATATCAAGAATGAAACAGGAGATACCACTGTAGACGATGACAAAATCAAAAGAATAAAGAGAATACTACAAACAACTCTACAAATATAAATTTCACAATATAGATAAAATGCATTAATTCTTGAAAAAGCACAAATTCTCTCTTACAAAATGAAATAGTTATGTTGAATAGCCCTAGAATTGAAGTCATAATTTGAAACATCTGAAAAAGAAATCGTCAGGCCTGGATAGATAGATCAGAGAATTCTAACAAACATTTAAAGGTTAACACGAATTATATCCAGTCTCTTCCAGAATAAAGGATAGAAAGAAGCCAATAGAAAGATATTCCAACTAATGAGGCCAGTGTTACTCTGGTATCAGAGCTAAAGACAGAAGAAGAATGGAAATCAGTATTCTTCATGAATCTAGATGGAAAAAGTTCTCAACCAAATAATAGCAAAAATAATTCAACAATATATAAAAATAATTACAAACCATGAACAAGTGATGTTTATTCCAGGAATAATAAGCTGTCTTGGTATTCAAAAATCAATTGTGTAACCCGCCACATTAGCAAGCTAAAGATAAGCATATTACATGATTATATCAATGCAGGAAAAGCGTTTGAAAAACATTCAACACCCATTTATAATGAAAAAAAACTTTCAGGAATTAGGAACAGAGGTAAACTTTCTAACTTTTAAGTTAGAAAAAAATCTACAGCTAACATAAAACTAAAAGATGAAAGAGATTGAATGCTTTCCCATTCAGTTTGGGAAGAAGAAAAATAGGTCTGCGCTCATCATTTTTATTCTACGTAGCTCTGGAAGACCCAGCCAGCTCACAAAAATTCTCTCCATAACCAGACTCTAGCCAGGCTCCTTTGAACTCTCTTGTCAACTAAACCCTGGCTTTTGGGCTTTTGTGTTGTCTATGCATTGCCCAATATTAGTAAGAATCCTAGCAATTTAGTCAGAATCCTCCATCTTCATATCTAATAACAAATTAGATATCATAATCACCATTGATATCTAATTTGTTTTCTTATTGTCTACCATCCCCAGGTGATATCTGATCACTCTGGCATGGTTTCAGCAAGAATCCTGTGAGGTCAGTTTAGCCAGATTCCCTCCTATTAGTAATTTTCCATACACTACCAACCTTCCACCCTACTCTGTGGCTGTAAAATCTCTACTTTCCCCTATATTCAGAGGGAAACCTGAATATATGGAAAACCCTATTGCAGTAATCTCTATATCTATTGCAATAATCCCTCTTAATAAAGTCTGTCTTACTATTTTTTAACAGGTGTCACAAATAGTTTTTTCTATAATACAGCTCAACAAAACAAGTCCAAAATAGAAGAATAAAATGGGAGGAATTATTCTACCCAATTTTTTAACTTTTTACGTAGTTACAGAAATCAAGACAGTGTGGTATTAGCAGTGGGATAGACAGTTCAATAAAACAGAATTGAGAACTCAGAAATAGATCCATACAACTACAACCAACTGACTTTTGAAAAAGGTGCTATATCAATTCAGTAGTAGAGTGGTTCTGGAGCAGTTAGATATCATAGACAAAACAACGAACCTCAATCTAACCTCATGTCTTTATTTAAAAAAAGGATCGGCCAGGCACAGTGGCTCACGCCTGTAATCCCAGCACTTTGGGAGGCCGAGGAGGGTGGATCACGAGGTCAGGAGATTGAGACCATCCTGGCCAACACGGTGAAACCCTGTTTCTACTAAAAACAAAAAAAAATTAGCCAGGCGTGGTGGCAGGAGCCTGTGTTCCCAGCTACTCGGGAGAATGGCGTGAACCCTGGAGGCGGAGCTTGCAGTAAGCTGAGATGGCACCACTGCACTCCAGCCAGGGCCACAGAGTGAGACTCTGTCTCAAAAAAAAAAAAAAAAAAAAAAAAAAAAAAAAAAGATCATAGATCTCAATATAAAAATATGAAATTTAATGAGAAATTCTTCAGGATGTAGGACTTGATGAATAATTATTAGACATGACACCAAAAAAAACCACACACACACAAAGAATTTATTATTTGGATGTTATCAAAATTTAAAACTTTTGGCCTGCATAAGAGCCTGTTAATAAAAAGACAAGTAAAAACTAGGAGAAAACTGCAAATCACACTTGATAAACCATATCTGACAAGGAGCTCATATCTAGAATATTCTTGAAGTTTTCAAAAGTCAACAACAACAACAACAAGAAAAACAATCCAATTAGAAATGGGCTAAAGGCATGAACAGATATTTCACTGAACAGGATATATTGATGGAAAATGAGAAAATAAAATAACTTTTATCAGAGGAATGCCAGTCCTTTAAATTATCAAGCCCAGAGAGACATTAAAGTGAGACAGCAGGCCGGGCGTGGTGGCTCACGCCTGTAATCCCAGCACTTTGGGAGGCAGAGGCAGGCGGATCACGAGGTCAGGAGATGAACCACGGTGAAACCCCGTCTCTACCAAAATACAAAAATTAACCGGGCGCGGGTGGCAGGCGCCTGTAGTCCCAGCTACTCCGGAGGCTGAGGCAGGAGAATGGCATGAACCCTGGAGGCGGAGCTTGTAGTGAGCCGAGATCGCGCCACTGCCACTCCAGCCTGGGCTTCAGAGGGAGACTCCATCTCTAAATAAATAAATAAATAAATGAATAAATAAATGAGACAGCAGTCATTTTGAGCTATGCATTCATCTCTCGAAACTGCTTGCTATTGCCACAAGTAGCTATAAATTAACCTAATAAGGCCATACTGGATATGGTAACCCACATCCTAGAGCTTAACAATGTATAGCCAATCACTAATTAATGTTATTTCTATAATCAGTGAGAATTCTTGACAAATCGCTTTGTATCAGCCCACTCTTGTCTCCCTTTTTTGCTTTTAGTAAAGGCCATATAGAGTTTATATTCAGGGTTTCTTGGATGAGTCTTTTGGGCAGCTGTCCTCACTTTCCTTTGTTGTTATTGTTGTTGTCGTTGTTTTTGGAGGGACAGGATCTTGCTCTGTGGCTGAGGCTGGAAGACTAGAGTGCAGTGGTGCAATCAAAGCTCACTGTAACCTTAAACTCCTGAGCTCAAATGATCCTCTCACCTCGGTTTACCAATTAGCTAGGACTACAGCATGTACTACCATGCCTGGCTAACTATTTTTGTTTTTTTGTAGCGATGGAGGTCTCTCTATGTTGCCCAAGCTGGTCTTGAATTCCTGGCCTCAAGCAATCCTCCTGCCTTGGCCTCCCAAAGTGCTGGGATTACAGGTGTGAGCCACAGTGCTCAGCCCAGCCTCTTACTTTTAGTCAACAGAAATAAGCACATTAAAAGATCTGGTTCCACTCCCATATGTAAAGAGCCTGGATTCTCCCACGCTTACGTGAGTTTTACCTCCAGGAGCCCCACCAGGTGCTCATTGTGAACAGAAAATAAATTCTTCGTGCACCTGGCAGGAGAGAGGGAAAGTAACTATTTGAAATACAACTAGAACACAGGGCTCTGTTTAAGAAAGACCTGTCCTCAAAGGTAATACTTTACCAGAGCCTTAACAGACTTAGGGGAAGGGCAATTACACAACTCAGCCCATACTAGACTTCCTGTCTCACATAAAGGGTTAAAAAAAGGGCTAAGAAATTCTTCTGAAGGTCAGAGCCCAGGGACTCAGGCCCACTAGAAAATGGATATGTAATCATAAAATTACACACTGCTTTCCCTCTACAATGCCTTACCACCACATCAGCAGGGTTCCAGTATAATAACTGTAAATTATAACCGAGAGAGCAGCGATTGTTCATTTAAGAGGCACCTTAAAACAACAATATCAAAATATTCCTACCATTCAGTAGTCTGTTTAATGGGTATGAGGAGACCTCAAGCACAATTTGGACTCAACTATTACATCCTTAAAATATTATTTAGCTAAGGCTAATGTAAAATATGAGAAACTATCTCCCTAAACAACATCTATAGACGATATTCAGAATTAGCTCCCAGTGTTGACAGTTTTAGTGACCCTTGGACATTTTCTTGATGGCCTAAAGCAAGAAGTTTTTAACATGGTATGTAAACAAAAATTGACCCATTATCCATTGTATGAACTTCAACATTTTGCCAAACATTTTAAAGAGACTCGACATAACAAAAACAAACAAACAAAAAACCCTCATAAGAAAATGTTTATCCTCTTTGTCTAAAAGAGAGATCATTTGGTTAACATGGAGGCACCCTCCACTTCATCTCCCTATTTGGGGCATTAATAATTCTGGCTTTCTTACTGAAGTAAAATATACGTAACAAAACTTACTATTTTGGCCATTTTAAAGTGTACAGTTCAATGGTGTTAAGTCTAATACATTAACATTGTTATAAAACCATCTCCACCATCTGCGTCCCATACATTTTTTTCTTCAGCTTCACAGTGGAATTTTTTCATGTTCCCAACTGAATCTATATCTATTAAGCAATAATTCCCCATTCCTTGTATGCCGAAACCTGGCAACCAACATTATGCTTTGTCTCTACAATTTGACTACTCTAGGTACCTCATATAAGTAGAATTACATGGTATTTCTCTTCTGTATCTGGCTTATTTCATTCGGCACAACTTCTTCA